TAAAAACAAATAAAAATAATTTAAAAATAAAAAAGATTAATAGAAAGAAAAAACCTGTTAACTAGGTAAAAAAACTTTCTATTTAAATTAAAAGTTTAGCTTTAATTAATTTAATATATATTATTTATAATAAAATTTAAATATATAAAATATAATATAAAATATTAATAAATATTAATTTATATTTAAAAAGCAAATTATTAAAAAATAAAATAAATATTTAAAAAATAAAAATTACTATTTATATTATAGATTTTTGTTATTTATATTATAGTATATATAGATTATTTAAATTTTAAAATATTTTAACAATTAATTAATTAAATTTGATAAAAAGGATTATTAATTTAATCAATTAGTTACTAAAATATCTGGTTAAAATTTATAATAAAATTATAATAATTTTATATATTATAATATAAATAGTAAAAATTTATAATATAATTAGTAGTTTTTTAAAAATTCTAATAATAGTTAGATATTTACCATTAATCTTCATCAGAATTTGAAATATTTTCAGGATCCCAATTATAATCATCTTGACCAGAAATTTGATCATTAGTTTCATTAATATTTTCTAAAATTTCATTAGTTTCTAATAATAAATCTTTATTATTATCTTTATCAGGAAATTTTTCTAAATCATCAATGAAAATTTCATCATTTAAATCTAAACTTGTTTCTAAAAATAAAACTAAATTTTCTTTAGTCAATATATTAGTTTCAGATAATAATAATTCATTTTTATTAAATCCTTCTTTATCTAATATTTTTTCAAAAGTATTAATATTTGTTTGGCTTAAAATTTCTAAAACTTCATTATCAGTCATTTCATTTGCAAAATAAGAAAGTTCTTTTTTTGCATTAGAATTATAATATGTGCATAATTTTGCAATTGTTTCTAATTTTTGAATATCTATTTGTGTTTGTCTATTTTCAGTTAACCAAGTAAGTAAAGAAAAATTTCTTTCACATGAAGTACTATTTGGAACAATTGCTAAAACTTTTAATGCTAATTCTTGAAGATAAGTTGGTTGTGGTTCAAGTGAATTCCACCAAGTTATAGTAATATCATATCCTTGAGCATATAGTGCATTATATGAAAATTCTTTTGCTTTATAAAGTCGAAGATGAAAAATTAAAATATTATAACTTGCACGATCTTTTCCAAATTTTTTCCAAATAGAACCAACAATTTTAGTAATTCTAGTAAATTGTCCATTTTTAAATCCTAAATCTAAAATATAAAATAAAATTATATTTTATATATTTAATTTTAAATTTTAAATTTAAAATATAAAATAAAATTAAATACTATTATATTTAACTATACTTACTATGAAAATTTGGCATTAAAAATATCCTAAAATATATAAATCATCATCAAATTCTTCAAATCGTTTATTTAAAATATTATAACAATATTGTCGAAATCCAGTATATTGTTGTATTGGTAATTTTTTAATTGTTGCATTTGTTTTAGCTAAACTTAAAGAACAATCACCAAGTGTTGCATAATTACTTTCTAATAACAAAATTGATTTTTTTAAAGGTAATAATACAAAATGTAATACTTTTAAATGAATGAAAAAATTATAACAATTAATAATATTAATAATTTGATCATTTGTTATTATATTATCTTCAACAATCTATAAATAATAAAATTTAATAATTAATATATAATAATATTTTATAATTTTAATTTATTACCTTTTTTAAAACTTTTTCTAACCGTAATATACTTTTAACAGTTTTACTTGCAGTTGTCCATCTAGTTTTTATATAATTTTTAAGACCTCCACCAGTTATATTCATTCTTTCTATTAGTAGTCTTAATTTTGCTTCTTTAATATATAAATTTTATAAAAATAATTAATATAAAATTATAATTAAATTAAAATATATAAAATATAATTAAATTTTATACCTGCTCTATGTGAAGATTTAAAAAAATTATATAAAATATTACATTTTTTAATTAATTTATCTGCCTAATCAAATTTTAAAATATCTTGTGCAACTAAATTAATCGCATGTGCTATACATCTTATACTAAAAATATATGGATGTTGTGTTGAAATTATATCTCGAGCAAGTTTTACATTAGCACCATTATCACTAACTATAGCTAAAAATGTTCTATACCAATAGAATCTAAAACTTCATTAATTTTGTTAGCTAAAAATTCTCCTGTATGTATTTTATCAGAATAATCACAAATTTTATATAAATATTCTTTACGCTCAGGTGTAATAATTATAAAATTCTAAATTGAGTGACTTTTTTTATCAGTCCAGCCATCTAATACTAAATTAAATTAATTAGTTATTATTTAATTAAATTTAAAAAATATAAATATATTTACCTAAAGTTAAATTTGAATATTGTTTAAATATATTATTAGTTTTTTGATTAATAAGAGCTAATTGTTGTTCTAATAAATGACCTGATAAAAATTGTCGTGTTGGTGGATTATAAGATAAATTTGTTTCTTTTAATGCTTCAATAAAAAAAAGATTTTCAATAATATGCCAAGGAATTCTACAAATAGCAAAAGCTCTAGCCCAAGCAAGATGAATTCTTTTAATTTTTTGTTGATCAATTTCTATTATACTAACATATTGATTAAGATTTCCTTGAGTATTGCATTTTCGTTTTTTATTTAAATTACTTTCTTCAGAATTATTAGAAAGAATTCTTGTAAGAAATTGTCTAATAATTGTTGAATTAGCTTTTGAACAATGATTAGCTAAATGACCTTTTAATTCAATTGGTTCACCACGGTTCCAAGATGCTTCACAAAAATTACATATTGCCTTATATTTTTCTTTTCCTACTCTTTCACCTTTAGTAAAATAATTCCAAACTGGACCTTCTGGACGACCACCATTTTTTTTTATCTTTAGTTATAATAGAAGTTGATTTACTAACAGTTTCTTCACTGGAACTTATTTTAAAAACAATAATTACTAAAATAAAATATAAATAAAAATTAATTATAAATATTTTAATAATGCTAATTAATTAAATATAATAATTATATATATAAATTTAAGAGATTTTAAATAATTTAATAAAAATAATTATATTAACTTACAAAATAATTTATAAACTAGTAATTTTATCTAAAAATAAATAATAGTTATTAATTTTAAATAAAAATATAAATTTAAAATAAAAAAAATATTTTTAATTTATAAATATTTAATAAAAATTACCTTTTAATTTTATTTATTTAAATTCTTCAAGTACAAGATTGTTTTTATAAATTAAAATTAATAGTGTAGCTTATTTAATATAATGATTCTAGAATCTAAAATTTAAATAATAATTTAGAACAAATTTTCATTAGATTAAATATATACAAATAACTGTAATAAATAAAAAATTATTATTATATTTATTATAATATATATATATTTATTATCTCTTTATAATTATTAATTTTGTATTAATAAGATTCTTAACTGCAAACTGATAAATATTTAAAAACCTAATAGATTAATTAAAATACTTAGATTAATAAAAATTTTATATATAATTAAATAGTAATATACATATAATTATTTAGATAACTAGCCTATAAATAATTAGATTTAAATGTTAAGATAAATCTAATTATTACTTGAATATAGCTTTAACTCTATATTTATATATATTATATGGATGGTGTCATTTCACCGACAATCACTTTATCGACAGCTTAGTTCACCGACAATTAATTCATCAACAAGTTCATTTCACTGACAATTAATTTGCCAACAGCTCATTTTACAGACAAAGTAATTCTGGCCATTGCTGTTAAGGTCAGGCTAGAATTAGAGTTAAGGTTAGTGTAGTTGATAAAAAAAACTTGTCGGTGAAATGAACTTGTCGGTGAATTAATTGTTGGTGAAATGAACTTGTCGGTGAATTAATTGTCAGTGAACTAAGATGTCGGTGAAGTAATTGTCGGTGAAATGATACGTATCTATATTATATATATGTTGTATATCAGAATAAAATTATTGTAGATTTAGAATCTACTTAGTTTAGAATAAAATTCCAAATATAGCCCAAATTGATGTGAAATTTAACAGCAATTTAAGTTGATTCTAAATTTGATATTGTAATGACCGATAAATTTAATAGTGGCATAAGTTAATTTTAAAATATGATACTATAATAACTTAAGTGATTGATGTAACAATAGTTAAATATCTTGATTTATTATTGAAATAAATTCTCAAGACAAAATATAAATTTTTTATACTTACTTGTTCTTAATTCACTTGTTTGTTCTTTGCAAAACTCTCTATCTGAAGGCTGAATTTTAAGATTATTGATCTGTGGGGCTACTAGTAATTTGCACAGACAATCTCACAGAATCAATACTATATGTTTTAATTTTCCAAAATCTTAAGTTCATTATTAAAAGAGATGATTATAGCTCAAAAAAACATTTGGAGCATGTCTAGTATGCAATCCTCTTCACAAATACACAAATAACATTAAATACAATTACAAAAATACGTGTAATAAAAATCATTATAAATATAAAAAACAAAAGTACCTTGTGAAGTAATTGCTATCTCACTAATTTACAATGTGCAGTGTTATATCTTAAATTGACTTAAATTCCAAAACAACTTACTCAATGAAATAATTTGGAACACGCTTAATTTTATTGTAAGTTGAATTGGAATTTTCTAATGACTTAAAAAATTTTAGAATTCTAATGCAATCTATATTCTACAATAATTCCATTCCGATATACAACATACATATAATTTTTTGTCAACAATCTAAATTTTACACATTTTATTTATTATAGATTAATGACATATCAATTATTCTTATAAAATTAACTCTAAAATTTAAAGCTTGCTAAAAGAGAAGCAGAAACTGATTATTAGTAATAATAATGCTAATGAACTACTTACATATATGATACTTAATGTTTTCGATAAAATGTTAAAGAGAAAAAAAAACTATCATTTTTGTTTATTGCTTTTGTACATTTTTCATATAAGCCACATATGAATTATTTTCATCAAAAGTTTGAAGCCTAATTTTCTTTTAATAGCACTCGAATACAAACAAAAAGCTATCGCTTTTTTTATTGTTTTTTTATACATTTTTTATATAAGCCACTTGCTGTACTTAATGCACGCAAAATATTTTCATACACCAACATGGCTTAGTCT